ATTACTGGGAAAAAACTATAGAGCATTTTTGTTAACTAACTCCATCATGCCATTTTTCAGAAACAGAAGACAATAGTTGTTAATACATTCCCCCGAAATGATATTGCATATATTATAGTTAACATTCAGTGTATCTTAATACATTTTTAATGTTTTCAGAATTAAACTTTTATTGGTATCTGTGTCAGCACCTACCTATCAAGAAAATTGAAAGAGGGGTAAGAAGATAGTATAAAATTGTATTTGATGCATGTTTTTCCCCTAACAGACTTCTCTTGCAGTTCATCCTGAGCAAAGCAAGCCGTGTGTTCTGTACATGGTTTCTCTGAGTATGCATAGAGTTGAGCAGATCTGTTTTTAATTTTGAATGCTAGCTAGCAATGCCACATTTGCAAGAGGAGGTAGAAAAGGTCATTCACAGTTCAGCAGAGTATTTCACTAACAATAAACCTCTCCCAAAATAAATAGATTGGTCAGAGGAATCTACAGCCACAGCTCTCTTGTATTTCAGACTGTTATTAGAACTTCCATAAGAACACATCGATTTTGGTTTCCTAAGAGAAAATTGTAAGAATTTGGAGACGGATGTAGCTTCTCCCCTTAGTGTACTAAAACTAACTGCAGGTATTAGGACACAGGAAACATATAGTTATTGTGAAGAGTACAACTTGAATTATACAGATTAATCTCTCTCGTTGTTCTTATTATAATAATGGAATAAATGAATGAGCTACTGCTAAATACATTCTTTTGCTGTTGTTGTTGATTTTACCATAGTTTTATTTTCCATAAATATTTAAACCAATATTCAATGAGTTTAGGCTTGTGAGCACTTGTAATTTTTATCCTATATCCTGCTTTGTAGTGTTTATTTATTTCAGCTAAATATTTCCTTAACTTATTATTATTATTATTTCTTATCTGTTTTAACTTGTTTTCTTTTTAGATAAAAATCCTTTTGGTTTGATTATCACAGCTGATGTTCTGATACAAAATACTTCTCACTTGAAACAGGCAGGTATATATTCAGATAGGCCCTGTAATGTAAATATTCTGTGAGTAGTTGATGTTCAGAGAATAGCTAAAGCTCTTCCAAGAACAACTGTTAGTCCTGACCAAAACCAGAAACTGTCCATGTATTTAGGATTAATCTGTTCTGCTTTGCCAATGCTTTCCTGAATATGATCATGTTATCTTGTAGAAACACACAAAACATTTTTTTATTCAAACATTCAGAAAATCTATCTCATTTAGAAATGATGATATTTGTCAAAGGTATACTTAAAAATACTTTCACTGTGGTAACATATCTATGATGATATAAGCTGGAAAAGTATTGGAAAAGTATCACAAGCCTGTAGTTTTCAATTTCTTTGTACCAGAACATCAGTTCTCTCTTGCATCATGCTGCCTAAGACCCTGCTCCTCCTATTTTAAACCTACATTATTTTTCACACCACTGTGCTGATTTAAAGAAAAAACAAGCCCACACATCAGAATTTGCAAGAGAAGTTTTACTGTCTCCCAGAGCAACAGCAAATGATGAGGATAACACACCAGCAGAGCACCTGGCCAGCCATACCCATGGGTTTCTTTCCTACTTCACAATAACTCTATTATATGCAAGACTTAAAGAAAGAAGTTATTAGCTTTGGAGTGCTGCTGTTTATTTTCCTCAGAATGTGTCCCGTATGGTTTGCATGTAACAAAAGTTAAAACAAAACACAATAAAATTAAATGAAAAACTCAGGGGAATTTAGAGGTCAGTGAAAACAGGAACTAGAGAAGAAAATCTGAGGGAAAACATCTGCAGGCAATGTTATTGAGGAAGGGATGTAAGACAAAAAAAAAAAAAAAAAAAAAAAAAAAAAGCACATGGACTAAGTTTCCTGAATATAGCCCAGATGGCATGGTGGGACATTATTATATTCATTTTGCTATAGGACAGCTCCATATACTAATTTTGTGCAGGGCAAGCAATTCTCAGAGGTTAAAATGAGAGTCAATCTGAAAGTGCTGAAAGTGCTTGAACCATAGCTGGCACTTGTAATGCTGCTAGTATGGAATAATTAGGCAAACCTAAGAAATGGAAATGTGACAGCTTAGGGTAATACTGGAATAGAGCCACAGGAATTGATTATTATTATTTTTTTAATCTATCTTCCTCCATGCTTCCTTTTCTTGGTGGAAGGAATAAAGATGATTCTTTTAAAAATAAATAAATAAATGGGGGGGGGGGGGGAGGGATGACACCAACACTGGCAGCTCACACTCTTATCCTATGGATAGGAAAATGCATATATAGCATGATATGTATAGCATAGCTTTTGCCGCTCTTATTCAGCTCTTACAGTATAAATATTGACTTTGTTATATTTATTACTATATATTGCAATGTAGTAATACCTATAGACTACTTCATCATGATCTGCAATTTACACAGTGCTCAGAGAAGTAAAAAAGCTTTGTTCCAAAGATACTTTAAATGTGACTGAACTACCTCTAGCAGTAACTATTGTAGCAACAATAACAACTACAACAAAATTGAAAAAAATAGTAAATAAAAAAAAAATAAAAAAAAGGAAAAAAAGACTGCATGAATGCTGCACAATTAAAGTCCATGGGAGTCTGGCCATTTATCTCCTTTTGGTCTGGGTTCTGCCTCAAATATTTATTGCCTAAACAAAAAGGAGACCTCACAGTACATGAAGATTTTGGAACATTTGCTAGCATGCTCTTGTCAAAATATACCCTGACAAACTGCAGAGTGTGCATGTGGCAGTCATGTAGGAACTAGCATGGCATTGTTCTTCTTGGTGTTATCAAAATCTGCAATTTTTGCTCTGGCTGGGGGTGGGAAGAGGGATACTGTATCTTTTGGTACAACTTTATTATGTGAGAATCTCAGGGAACTGTTCTGTGGCTTTTGCATCCTTACATCTGTCCTTCTTAGTTTAGAACAGTTTGAAGTGAAAGCCTTGCCAAAAGCTGAAATGAACTGTAAAACAATCAGCAAATTATTATCAAGCGTAATACATGCTGATACATCTGTTTTGCCAGCTGGAGATGGTACTCTTACCTAACATCAAATCTTTAATGATGCATGTGGCCTTCAGGGCTTAAACTGAAAAATCAATCTGCTGACCCAATGGAATTTTTTTAATTTCCTGGGTTATGTATTATATTATTACCTGTTATTTTATTACAGTGCTGCTATGTACAGTAATGCCTTAAGAATTGCAAGCTGAGGAATCTGGTGTCCAAATAAAAATAATATATATATTTTTTTTCCTTATGGTTTCAGTTATTAAGACATATTCATATCCTGGACATATAGTAAAGTTTTGCCAAATTATTAGGAATGAATGTGCACATGTAGGGGAAACAAAAACAAGCAAACAAAAAACAACCAACCAACGAAACCAAACCAAATCAGACTAAAATAAAATAAAATAAAATACAACAACCCCAAAAGAACTTTACTTCCTTCTCTAATTATGTTTTACCATAAGATAGAATTTTACAAAATAAGCATTCATTTTTAAAGTCATTTTAACAATAGTAAAGACTGGTAAACTTGAAATAGCCAAGAGGCCCTGAATGCAAGAAGGTCTCTGAATTGAATTCCAGATGTTTTAGCTTCTGAATGGCCCAAGATATACAGAGTTAAGACAGAAAAAGGCTAAAGGTAATAAATAAATAAATGAATGAATGAATTAATTAATTAATTAATTAATGGTGCAAGGATTCTTTTTATGTTGTGTCTTAAGGTAGGTTTTAGTAAAGTGGATCAAGTAGACATAACTAAGAAAGGCAAGGAAAAATGGACAACATAGGAAGGAGATGGAAGAAATGGATGGAAGAAGGAGATGGCATTGAAACAAGCCTTCCACTTGACGAAAGAAGGCTTTCCTAGAGGAAAGAAGGCTGTGGAAAACAGTTTGATCACATCCACAGAAGCTTGTTGAGTAATCTCAGCAAGCTGAGGTGCCTGGTGTAGATCTAGTTTGCACTGAGTTTGAGCCATCACTAGTAAGCGTTGTGTAACATGACTTGCACAGATGACCAGAGAACTGCTGGCTCTACATTTTACTGCTCCAATAAAAATAATCCTTATGCTCTGGCATTCTAGAGCCACTTGCCCTTTCTTCAAGGGCACAACACTGCCCTTGTCAACTGGGGCAAATATTTATGTCATTTATTTTATCATAAATTACTTGTTTATTTTACTGCTTTATTCTATTGTTTCCTTTAGTTTAACATTCTGAATCTCTCTAAAATTTTTAGGATGTCAAACTATTTTCTCCTGCTATTTTGCTCACACAAAAAGTTCTTTGTCCTCTGCAGATTAAAAAAAAAAAAAATGCTTTATATGCATGTTATGTGATGCATATTGCTGCTTTAGTGGAAAATCTCATAGTGTGTTCAGTATAATGTAAAGGAGGAAACAGGATCTCTCTAAGGGAGTGTTGCATTTCAGAAAGATCAACACATTTTAAAAAAAATAATAATAAAATATTATTATTATAATTATTTTCCTCAGAATAATTGTCAGAGACCTACAGATTATCCAAGCTGGAAAGAGGAGAAGTGTCTCTCTCTCAGTTCTATTAAAAATATCTGCTATAGATGATAGTGGGAATCAAGTTCACAGGAAGAACCTGGGCAGACATCTCCATCTTTTTTACAGTAAGCTTGTGGCTACTGATTCTTCATTCTGTGATTCGTAGATCAGTAAGTTCACTTAACTTCTCATTTGATTATGATTGGGAAATAGGAACTGAAGCTGTAATGAAACATTAGAAAAATGTGTTTCATTAATATTTTTTGATCTATTAGGAGTTTTTTTCTGTGTTTCTGGAAGATGTTCTTAGGCTTTTCCTCAGTTAATCTAGATGGTTGTCCTTCCATAGGGAGTCTTCTTTTGGTTAAAAACAGAGCAAAGCAAAACAAAACAACAACAAAAAATAATAATGAGGGTATGAAACATTTTGTCCTTGTTTTTTTTTTTTTTACTAGATATTGTTACAAATATTGTTTCAGTTTATTTGCCCACATACTTAATATGATAAATGCTTATTTTGTGTATGGTTATAACTTTAAGTCCCAACCTGAAATCTTTATTTATAAAAAAGATTTGTGCAAATCTTTTCTTTAAGTATAAATACAAATAGGTTGAGCTCTGTTGCACATGCAACTGTGGCTTTGCATATCTCTAATATCTCAAGCAACATTCTATTTGATTTCAGGCCAATAGTGCATTCATCTTCTTCTGCTGTACTAACACTATAGCATTGAAAAATTCCTGCTGGGAAAGTATACAGTCACTATTTTGTTGTTTGTGTTGTTTTTATAGTGATCCAATATCCATTATCTCTTACCTCTTTTTCCAAGTGCCAGGTATTATGCTGGTTTGTTCTAGCTTTGCCACATAACATGCATCTCCATGTGCTGTTTTTGTAAACTTTTCTTTCAATGTGCACAAAAGCTTACTCACATAGTATTTTGGATTCTTTAATATGTCTATGGGGTCAAAGTATTGTATTTTATCCAGAAGGCTCAGTTTGGCTGGAAAATTCTGACAGTTGTAAAAATAAAAAAATAAATATATATATATATCTATCTTCTGCCTTTTTACAATAGCATCTCTGTAATTGTTTTGCCACAAGTCTAAATAAGAAAACCTTTTACACAGTATCAGACAATTTTCTTAAACTCTAAAACCCTGTCCTTAGCTCTAAAACGGTTTGTCTTCTATTTTTCACTTTTCTCCTAAGTCCTCTGAGTAAAAGTATATTTCATGTTTCATTTGTTAATAGTATGAAGTCTCATTCAGTTTTTGTAGTACAACTCTAATAGTTTAGTCACATTTTCATAGATTAATTGAAAGCTACAAAAATACCAGGTACACCACAACTATTGAATAATGATTTCTGGTTGTCTTCCTTTGCAGGCATTTATTGCTTGCAGTTAAATATTCCCTTATTTCATACTTTTCTACCTGTTTGCCATATTCAACAGCTGCAAATTTTAACTGCTCTTTGACTTTTTAAAAAATTTTATTATTATTATTTACACAGAATATCTTTGTAGGTGTTAAGTCCTCTTGTTCTTCCATTTATGAACATAATCAGATACTTTTGTATTGAAAGAAAAGCCACAGACAAGGTATAAGTAGATCCTTTCTGCTAACTTCAGCTTTTAGTACAAATTGAACTTCAGGTTCAAACTAACTTGTTCATGAAAAACTTTTTTAAAAACTATTAGTCCTATGGTGAGTGATGTCTGCAGGAATATTTATTTATTTATTTATTTATTTATTTCCAATACCAGTATGAGTTGGGATTTAGGGAATTGTTCCCTACTACAAGTAGTCACTTTATGCAAAAGATTGACTACAGTTTCTGATTATTTCAGATTTTGGATCAATAATAGCTATAATATATGTAAATCTTTCTGCTTTAGTAGAGCTTAAGAAGATTTCATAATTTAGAAGGAGTCTAGAAAATTTTTAACATTACACTGTCAAACACAAGCCATGTGTATTTGGGAATATGATTTTTAAAAGTATATATATGTGATATATGTACATTTACATCACACACATATCCTTAAAACAAAAAATGACAATGGACCTCTATCAACAGTAAACTTTCTCAAATTTATTTATTATATTGATTAAAAGCAATATTCCCCTTTCACTATGGCTCTGAATAATATAAGGGAGGAAAACTATTCCCAGATCTTACACAAGGAGAATGATGCCTGCCTAGAATAAAGATGGTGCCCACTTACATAAATGTACTCTGTGGGTAAATTATTATGTTGTGGAGGAGACAAGAGGATTCTTTTTCTGTCTTGAGTATATCCAAGAAAACCACATTGTTTTGAAGGTCATTTGTTGAAATTTACATTACTATTGTAAAAATTTCCACAGGTGCCTAAATATGCCCTAGGTAGTTTGGGGATTAAGATGAAGAAATGACTGACCTGAAGTTACCTATTTAATTCAGTATTAAATTAAATAGTATTAAATTAAATAAATATCTGTTGTAATTAGGAAAAGAACATCCATAGAATTAACTCAATGAATTATTATTTGCAAGTGCTCAACTCACAGCACAAGGTATAATAAAAACCAGAGCTAAGTGACAAGTAGGCAGAAATTATTGGTGCCAGTACTTTTCACCCTCAATACTATGTTCTGATTCGTTTAATGCAGTGACATGAGGAAGGATTTCAAAATAAGTCAGGTGAAACAGGGTATAGAAACATCTGTTTCTCTTTGCTGACTATAGGCTACACAACTAGATCAGATGTAGATATCTATACAGTAGTTGCTACAATTATGTGACTAACCTCATTGTGATTTGCTCATGCAGCTCCCTCCATTTTGGACAGACTGTCATTGCATCCCTAGTAATTGCTCAAATCTTTTCTTTCTGATGTTGAATTAAAACAAAAATTTGGAAGAAATTAAAGAGAGAAATGCTTATAGGACTTTTTCTCCAAGTAGAAAGGGATAAATGTAACTTCTTGGTTGAAAAAGTACTTGCTTGGGTGATGGCATCAGAAATATGAACAGTTGAAGTGGGAGTTGGCTTCTTGGTAGCAAATGGGAACAATAGAATTGAAAGAGGTTGTGAAGTGCCAAGAAAGTGAAGTCAAGTGATTCATAACGCTTATAATCAAAAAGGATCAAATGAAACTATGCACAGAACAAAGAGACTTGGTGACAGGCTAGAAAAATAATTTCTGCTGCAGTATTTTGAAATATATCTGAGTTAGGGTATTACTTTCCAAGGCAGAAAAGTATTATTATTATTAATTATTATTATTATTTCTTAAATCTGGAAAGAAAGATATTTTGACACATTTAAAACAAGTCTATGAGGTATGAAATTTTAAGATGTTGATAATAAGCAAAGAAATAAAAGAGGAGGACCTTTGATAGAAGAACACAAATTTGGAAGCAGAGGAAGGTTTCTGATGGAAACTTGGAAAATAGGAGAACCAGAAAAAAAATGGGTATATAGAAAACAGGGAAGGAAAATATTTTTAGCAAAGAGAAAGAAGTCAGTAGTGTTGGAAGAGACTGGAAGGTAAAAAAGGATGAGGATGGAATTTTGGTAAGAGAAGATTTTTGGCAAAAACATAATTTTATTGTAGTGAAGTGGGCAGGAGCTTGGTTTGAAAGGGGAGTTGAGATAAAATTATTAAAGAAAGCTGAATATAATGAAGAATATATATAGCACTGAATATTTATATTCATAAACAGAATATATACAGCACTCCTTGAGCTCCAAGGTGGAACAGGAAGGCATACAGTAATGAATGATTGAGGCAGCAAGATTGGGAACAATTTTCTTTTTTACTAGAAATAACCAAACCACCATGCCAAAGAGAGTGAAAACATAAGTAAATAGGTGAGAAAAGTTACAGTGGGGATCAAGAGACTGAAAGGGAGGCAGGTACAAAGAGATTAAATCAGACGAGGAACTTCCATAACAGGAGAAGAAAGTTTACAAGAGAGGAATTGGAAAGAAAATTAATAGGCAGGGCTGGTGGAGGAAGATCACAGAGCATTTCATCAGTTTTCCTTAAAAACATGGATACCAGGCCAAAATCACCTTTTCTATCCCCCGCCCTTTTTATTTTTTTCCCAAGTAATAGTTCAGCTATACACTTACATGAAGATTCTTCAAGTTTTTGAAATCTCCTTCTTTAATTTCAGTTATTTTGTTGTTCTGTAAGTCCAGCAGAGTTGTATCAGGGGGAAGGTCTTTTGGCACTCTTTCCAGACCTACGAACAGTGAAAAGAATAAACAATCGACTTTGAAAGAAACTTCAAATAGGGGTCAGTACTTTCCTTAGTATTTACCTTTCAGTAAACATTTCTAGAACTCATTTCCTGAAGTATGTTATGAAGACTTATTTGACAACATTTCTGTCTCCAAAGTGTCAAAGAGAGTTTTATTTTGCAATGTCAAATTAAAATGTATTTATTCACATTTCCATTCTTCCTTTTTCCAAGTTACAGAAAAGACTGAGTTTGTCAAAATTATTTCTAACACATTTAACTCTGATGAATTGTGTGAATAAAAATTGCTTTCAGAAGGAGGTATGGCATTTATTAGTTTCACTGTGTGCTAAATTTTTTGGACAGAGAGCATTTCCTGCTATTTAAATCAATAAACTTTTCTTCAAAGAAGTACGATGGCTAATTATATTCATTTCCAGAAAAATATTATTTATTTGACAATAACTGAATAACTTGCAGTGAAGTCCACCTTAAAGAAAAAAAAAAAAAAAAAAAAGACACAAAACCCCCACTTTTCTTTCAGTTGAAACTATGTGAAACTATGTCCAAGTTTTCTGGAGAACAAATCTCTTGGTTTCACTACAACTGCCAAAAGAACATCAGACAGTTTAAATTAAAGACTCTCTTTGGGACTATTTTCTGAATAGCTGATATGTAAGTCCAATGAAGTCATGGAAATGAAATTATTTAGTGTTAAATAACACTCACTTTACCCAGCTTTGCTTTCGTACTGTGACTTGGAATAGAGCAAATCTTTTATAGTCATTCTGATTTACCACAAAATTAAAATGTTCTTTCCTACCTAGTCTTCTTTTTTACAGAATATGAAATTCTAAATGAATGGCTAGTAGGAATAATTTATAGCCATTAATAACAGACGTGTATTTTTTTCAGGAAGAATGGGCTTTTTAACAATAAAGGCTTAAATATTTCTGAAGGTATACTCAAACTCTCTTAAAAAGATCTATCCGTAAGTATCACCAGTGTCTCCCCAACAAATCCTGGAATTGAGACTTCTTAAGTTATCTTAATATGGGTGTAGCAGACCTAAACTTTTGAAAAGTGCTTCTTTTACACTTAGCTTTAACTGATGATAGTACTCTGTGTAGAACACATTCTGTTGTCCCGACATTGGTTGGTTTCTGAATTTAAAAACATCCTAGCCACTCTTCCAAATTTATCTCTCCCCCGCCTCCCCCCCCGCCAAGTTCTCAAACATTAGCTGAACAAGTATTAAAATATATGTCTGATATTTATTAAAATTGAGTACAATATAGATTAACCTGGCTAATCTTTAATCCCATCAGAACCCAAAAGTTTTAAAATGCAGAATCTTCCAGCTCCAGATGAATAAGTAAAAGGATGTACTGTACATAAAATGACAAGAGTATATCTCATATCTCATGCTATTTACTTTACTGATTTTCAGAGCATGAATAGATGGTACAGATTAAGGTTCTTCATATTACTAAAATATTTTTTTTCTCATTTAGGCATGAAGTTCATTTTTCTAAAGGCAGTTGCAAAACCCTAATTATTTTCAGAAATGTGGGACTAGAGCTCCACATAAACAAAAAAATAAAATAAAATACCATATAATTTTCATGTTGTGTTTGGAAAATTTCTGTACTCTGCAGACAGCAGTGATGTCAGCAACTAAAAATTCTCTCCCCAAAGCAGTTTTTTTAAGATCATAATTTTGTTATGGGAAGTTTTCAGAGTCTAGCAAATTTTAATGGTATTTTTCACATATAAATGCAAAAATTGATTGAATTATTTGGATACAAATTAATATTACTATGTTGTGCTTGTCAGTACATTAAATTTCCGGCTGTACTCTTCAAGCTTCACATGTCAGATTCTACAAGCTCAAGCATTTTCTGTGAATGAGGTAGAACTGATAATTTCACAAAGTAATGAAGTGGTGGTTCGTATTATAGTAAGACAACTGTAATCAGATAACCCTTTGTGAACAGTGATTTATAAAAGATTATTGTACTAAAATCTAGGAGGTACAATGCAATTACTAGCTCTGCATACAAGGAATAAAACTGCCATCCCTAAAAATATTGAACTTGTTTTATTACCTACCTCATGTATATTCTGTTATGTGATCCTGAAGCCATTTCTAAAAATGGTTTAGTAAACAGCTGAATTGAAACCATGGTATATGATTTTTCCTTAGCTTGTCTGAGTTTTGAACATATGGAGAGCAAAGTATCATGCATTGTGTATAGGAGTACAGGATACACCTCATGTGCCATAGAGATGTTACATTAATATTAAGCAGTACAGTACACCCACCAACTGACAGCTATATCAAATAGAGCTCTCCAGTGACACAACAGTTTGTAAATGGGTGGATCTGGACACTGTCTTATAAAATTATCAACTAATAATTCAGGATTAAACTGTGTTTAACTTGTGGACTGGATCCAAGTGTTTCACCACTTGTCCAATCTACATCGATTTGCACTACAACAGCACTTCTACTTGTATTCTACATCTATCCCAGACCTGCAAGCTCATGAAGCCAGTCTCTTCTCTAGAGTTTTGTTGCCTGAGGAGCAATCCTTCAAGTCTTTCTAGTCATAACAGGTCAGTACATGAGCAGTGCACATGAATGGGGGAGTCTAACATGACAGCGTGACAGAATTTGAAATGAATCTAGAAAACTGCAATCCCACTAGAAGCTAAAATAGCTCTTGAATCTTAAATTAGAATTTCCAATACCCAGGATGATTCTTGTATTCTTCTGGCTGGAAGACAGAAGAATTTAGAGGGGAATTGTGGGCTGTTCATATGACTTATTTCCCATGACTTAATGCCCATATACTTCTGAAAACCTGTTGTAGTGTGACTCTATGTCCACTTACTAATGCCTTTCTGTGAAATTATATAATGTCAACTGACAGAGGAGCTGGTACAGGAAAATATCAATTGAGTCACTTCTTAATCATTTTTAAAACATTTTACACAACTATTTCAGCTTTTTTTTTTTAATATATTTACATTCAAGCTTGTGAATATAAAAAAGAAAGCTATATGGCAATTTTTCATAGCAGTCTGACTTTTTATGTGAATACTCAGTGATACAGAGTTTGGTATTCAGTTCTCTGGAAATATTTCAGGCCTCTGGTTTCCAAGATTAACATAAAACTGACTAAAGATTTTGATATTTCTGCCTTTCTATCTGTTAATTTGAAAGTGCATATTGTTTTATTAATTTTGATTGAATAAAACGAGATCAGTTATTATATAAGTTGTTAAATGCATTAAAAAAAAATCATGAATGAGCAGAAAAGGTATAGCCCCACCCTTACAAAATGCTTGCTTACACTGAAATTAAAAGCCTAAATATTCTGGAAACATAAGGGACTTAACGAAAGAACTTTTATCTTTAGTCAGAAAATTATTGCCATTTGCACTAAAATAGTTCTCAAGAGAAATCATGTCTACCTTACCGAAGCTAAACAAATATCCATTCCTGCAATATGTGCCAGATCATTCTCTGTAGATTACAACAAATGGAAATCTTCTTCTATCCTACATCATCAACCCCTAGCACTTAGCGATTCCCACCAGCAGACATGTATGTGTGTAAACATGCATGGATATGACAATACATAAAGAGTAGAATATACCAGAGAACATTAATAAAAATAAATAAATAAATAAATAAATAAGTAAATGAGCTTGAAACACTTCGCCTTGTTGCTCAGGATCAACTGTACTTTTATTTTCCCAGCAGAAGGTTTCCTATTCTTAACTTATTCTTACACTAGTAAATACATCACAGATTTATGGAATAACTAATATAACAATATGATCAAATGTATTAGAGGGATGCCTAGCAAAGCTGGATCATCAATGGATTTCTTTCATATAGACAACAAGAACCCACACTCACTTTTGGAAGTACTGTGAAGGAAAGGCTCATCTAGAGTCAATTAGAAGATGTTCAGTAGAGAGAGGTTACCAGGACCAGGAATCTCTCCATAGCAGGAGGATGGAGATGAAGGTAATATTTCAGAAATCATGCTTGTCTCAGTGGGATCCTACCTATGTGATGTGTAGTATTTTCTCATTATTTCTTAAATAAATTAGATTAACACAATTGCAATGTCTGACTGCTTATCTGTGATTACCTCTCCTTTTGGAAAGGACAGAAGTCTGATGGGTCTGGAGATTTCATGAGACCAGAAACTAAGCACAAATGAGCCAAACTAATGATACAGTGAGGTTGGTATAATTCAGCCCTTATTGAGTCCCTGAGAGAGCAGCAATCTGTGGCTAGTCATCTCCTGTGTAGTAATAGACCAGCCCAACTCACACATGCTGCCATTTAGCCAGCCAAACAGGTGTAGGAGATGTAGCAAGGATTTGGGAATATTGCGAGGACTAAAGAGGATTAGGGATTTTGATATACAAAGCAAGCTTCATTACTTTTGCAGCTCGGGGAATTACCTGATCAGCTGCAGGAGCTGTGATCAAGTGGCTGTTGAATTGTTTAACCCTCAAAATGTGAAGGGTGGCATTTGAAACCTCCCCACTATGAAGGGTCTTCAGTTCACTGCTCCAGTTTCTCAGAACTGAGAATCAGAAACGTGGCATGAAGCCACATTTCTGCTGAAGCCATACAATTATGCAGAAAAGGAATGCAAGATTTATGGGGCTAGTGCGAGAGATGAAGCAAAAAGGAGTCTGAGTCTGTAGTCCAGAGATGAGGACACTTCCCTGGGAACTGTATCCTTGCAATGCTGAGACCACATAGTCAAAATAAGAAATATGTGACTGGTGCCAATTGCAAACAACTTAAAGCAGCAGAGCCTGGTTTATTAAATAAATAAATATATACATACATATATATATATATATATATATTTATTTTTTTTTTCCCACCTCCTATCCAGTTTACAACAGACAGAGATGGGGCTTTTTCCCCTGAATAAACATTCCCTTTCCCAGCTTAGGAGCAAGGGTCAAAAGGCAGAGGGAGACCTGAATGCTGTAGCTCAGATACATGTGTTATTGCATTGCAACACTCACGATTATTATCATAGGGGCCATAAAATGGGGCTCTTTTCAAGTCTCCTTTAGTTTCCACTAACAGCTGCTGCCAGCTGAAGAATTTGGACTGAGTTACATGTAATTCCCAGACGTGGTCATCAGCGGCTGCTCTCCCGGTGGGGGCAGTCTCTCCAGCAGCTGTCTGTTCTTCCTCTGCTATGTGTTCTTCCCTGCTCAAAGCCCAGCTCTGCCTCATCTCAACAGTGGGCTGTGTGGACTCTGGGATGAATGGGGTGAATGGCAAACTCATGGGTTCAGGAGACTTAGTCAGGGAAAATACAGGACTCAAGGACAGCTTTCTGGAAGGATGGCAGGGAACTCAGCGTAGTGTTGAATGCTTTGGAATAGAAGAGTTCACTGAAACTTTCCCAGTCCGTGTTCTTCAGTATTTACTGGAATTTGTTCTCTATTGTGTGGGATTTGAAAATAGGAGTGGTTTCACAATTTGCATCCTGCCAACCACAAAAGTAAGAAACATTTTTTTTTCTTTAGAGTAGTACCCACAACCTCCTTCTCCCTCCCACTTTCAAATGAAAAGTCTGTTCTTTACCTTTTCTTTTCTTATTATGAAATCATCAGTACTAATGGGAACGTTTTAATTTAAAAAAAAAAAAAAGCCCTGAAGAATTGGAGAATTATTTTTTTCTCAGGTGATTTACGAAACAACAACAACAACAACAAAAAGAGCAACACAGTTTCTACTGGAATCTATGAAACTCTTAAAATGCAACCATGACAACCATTTTTCAGATATTCTTCCTGCTCTTCAGTCTATAAGATTCATGTTCCATTAAGATCCTTTTGGGACTTTTAATAATTTTCTTCACATATTATTATTTTTGTATACCTCTGACCCTTCCCATTGGAAAGAATGAGAAAATGAATTCCATTCCCTGCTGAGATGGCCTTTCACAAAAGTAGACCAACTGGTATACTACTACACTGTTTCTTTGTTTGTTTATCTTCCCAAATTTTACAACATTGTTTTCCAGAACAGAGTGAGGAACACAGGAAAAAAAAAAAAAAAAAAGATACATTATGATCAACTGTGCAATTCCATTATGATAGTGTAAAGAATTGTAAAAACCCAATGAAAGGTTTTAAAATGAATGCATAACTTATCTGCTCACTTCCATTTCCACTCACTCCTTGTAGTGACCACATATTTCAAAATATAACAAATATTGTAAACTACAGATTTTATGAATTATTTTTCCGTGAGAGTCACATTTCCGGTACAAATAGACTCAGCCTCCTGTCTCAAAATAATAATAATAATAATACCAATGAGTAATGACACATTCTTAAATCTTATAATCAAGCAAATACCATTTCTGTGTTCTTTCTGACTGACTTAATGTCAACGGTCTGGAAGATATATACCTTATCAAGAAGGACAGAATTCTTTTAGAAAGGAAGAAAAATATTTTTGAAACAATCATTAGTCTTCAGGGATGAAGACATTATGTAAAAAATCAAATATCGTGAGATTTCTGAAGTAACCGCTAGAATTGCCAACATTACAATTCCCACTGTCATGGTTACTGACATAAAACATTCTATCAGAGAACAGCAACAGTCCTGTGTGATTCATGCAATCTGCCAGCATGGTATGCATCCTGGATTTAATCAATGTGGATGCAATGCAGATGTACTATGTATGACTATTCGTGCACTGAGGTGAAACATATATTTCTTATGAATATTCACAGTATTCAGAAGAGAGTATTTCAATGACTGGGGAAATTTCTAACATTAAATTATGAATGAACCTTTGGATATTTGATATTTGCCTGGTTCACAGTTTAAGCAGCAGGCAATAGATACAAGTCTACCACTCTGAATCTTTACTTTGTGATTTACCAGAATTAGCACTAACTCAAAGGGGTAGCCATAAAGAGTGGTTTGGTGGGATCTCCTGTACTTTCCAGTAAACTTACACTTTCCTTTTCTCACCACATAGTCATTGCACAGCTCTAGTTTTATTATGATCTGAAGGCAGAGGTTTGTTACTGGTATTTTAGGGACATGAGCATTTTTCATAAATGTTTTAGGATTGCTTTCAGCTTCCTTTCATGCAAACAAAGGAAGAGAGCCACTGTGAATATGTCTGAACACAGTGAGTAACATTTAAATAAATGTTGAGATAATTTCATGAAAGAATTAGAAAGTCTGCAGAGCTGTTATCTCCCTCTTTCTAACAGATTATGTTATATATATTCTAGTGACTCTTTGACATTTTGCTTATGTTACTTATTTATTGTATTGGTTATTTAGTGATGTACTTCCTCCAGGTCATCTGAAACAGTCATCTCTTCTCCACCACAGAGTGAGAGAAATAAAGAAAAGAAAATAAATTTTAGCCCCTGACCCTGAAAGCTGCAAGATTTTCATTAGATTCCTATCTTAAGTTCCTTTCTCATTTTTCCTCACCTGTATCTGAAACTTACTATAGGTCTCCTTTTTTAAATATTTCTTTCGTGGCTTCCCTTGAAAAAGTGAGATTTTCCCTTTCGTGTTCATACCCTCCTTCTTAAATCTTTCCTATTTTATCTGTCTTCCTGTTTTTCTAAAGTTACTGTGAAATCAGGTGGGCTTCTAGTTTTCACTTCTTTTATATTATTTCATATTTATTACATTATTTTTCATATTAAAATAAAAACTGCCAACATTCTCTCCTTAACAGATTTTTGTAGCACTCTAAATAGTTTCCAGGAAATGAACACCAGGCTAGTATGGGATATCTTCCTAGGTGTCTTCTCACCTAAGAGCATGCACAGAGAGTACACACATAATCTTTAAATGTTGATTTTCACTTTTTTTACTCTTTATAGATTGCCTGAGAAGTCTACCGTAAGATTTCATGTATAGCAAATGTAACCCTGTTGACAATGTTGTACAGACCTGTTCAAACCATCAATCCCATGAGCTGAAAACTACTACACAAAAAACAAACAAACAAACAAACAAAAACCCTACAACAACAAAAAAAGCCACCCAGAAAACAAACCATCCAACCAAACACATACAAAACAAAAGAACAAAACTCACAACACCTCCCCCATGCACACACATCTGTGGGCATGGGCCTTGGTTTTAAAGCTCCCTGTGGGACTGTGTTCACTGTTTCCATCACTTTCCTTGCTGAGATGCCAAGGAGAAATTTCTGCTCTACCTATTTTCTTTTCCTAGTGTTTTCCTTTCATTTTCTAGACAAAAATGCTCTGCATGAATGAACTTTTAAACATAATACAACAGAATTCTAGCATTTGCTATTACTGTTAGTCAGGACAAGTATATAAAACAGGAGAAGTAAGTTTCAAAAGAATGTACAATGCATTGTAAAGCACATATTATTTGACCTGAACTTTATGAACAGACAAAAATATATTCAGAAAAATATATATATTTTTTCCCCTGTAACCACATGGTAGATCCAGGACATGGATAAAGTGAAACACAGACCAGTGAATCCAAAGTTGATAAAGAAAGTCTAGATATTATACTCTCAAACCTGGGTTAGAAAGATGTTTTAAAGATACACTTAAAAATAGAAACTTTTTTAAATACCATGGAAAACTGAACCATGTAAAAGTATTTTTCTTGAGAGGCTGGAGGCTGGTATTGGTAGTTTCTTGCTATTACCATTGGTGGATTCAGGTAGGACTCAAATTCCTAGGCCACATCCCTACTGGTTGAAGGTTCTCTTTGAACTCTGGGAAGGAGCCTTTGGACTCCCTAGCTCTTTCTAAGACTTGGCAGGGAGTTTTTAGCAGGTGAATAGCACAGGATTTGTGTCTTGAAAATATCAATAGTTTCTAAACAATTATATCTGTTACCAAATACTACAACATTTAAAGATGTTGACAATTTAATACAAATATTATAAATGTCCATAACATCAGTAGATGTCAGTAGTGATTATTTAGTATGATTGAAGTGCTTCAGTTACCTGCTATGTTCTGTAATGACTTAACAGTTGACTCACTTTTTTTTTTTTTTTTTAGCTATCTATTAGTTACTTATTTGTACTGTGGGATAT